CTTAATTAAACATAATAATATGAGTTCATTCCATTTGAACATGGTGTTGTCAACTAATGATAACTTGTATTATTTCAATGTTGATATTACACGATTTAATTCACGAGATTTTAGTCATTCACCAGACAATGTAAGCAAGTATCATCATAGTACTTCAATAATTAACAATTGGTTAAATATTTCTTCTATGTATTAGAACTAATTATGTTTTTTTATTATATTTGAATTATATCAAGTAGTAGAATTCAAGACGAGTATTTTGTTGTATTTGAGAGTCGTCACCTGAATGTATTTGCATCACAGTGTTGATATTCATACTGAGACATGAAATAACAACCTATATTTTTGTTATAGCCCAAAGCCGCCAATCAGAAGCAGCGAATCATCGGTCGGACCAAGGACGTGTAAAACACATGCGAGCAGCCTAGAGTCCTGATTAGTCCTGCTTCGTGTCTAGCCCAGCCAGTTAAGTCCAGAACACCAGTCTCAGCCTCTGCAATATGAATCATTATATTTCAAACATACTGAATTTATATACCAATCAAACAGACCACAACGTAGCATAAAATAGGAAATAACATTTGTACAAAATTTGGCCAAATGTGGCTGTGAATGTGTGAGGCAGTGACTAACAGACAGGGCATAATTCAAGAATAGTAAAACTTATAATAATAGTTCATAGGTCAAAATAAAACTCATAATAAGAGAAACACGCATATGAATAGTTTAGTTATTTAACAATTATACTACAAAAATATATGTTTAGTATTGGTTCATAAAAGGATCCCAAAGTTACCATTCATTACGTTTATCGGGACATAACACTTCTTCAAATAGAATATATCACCCATTAAGCTATTGTGTTTAATAAGAACATTAAAGCCTCACGAAAAATAACCTGACGTTCAAGTATGAAGAAGTGACTTACTTACTTCTTAATAACGCTTGTTAATCCTCGTGTTGGAGCATAGGCCGAACACCAGCATTCTCCATCAAACTCGATCCTGGACAATCTTTTTCAGTTGTCCACAAACGCTATTCATTCTTTTCATGTATCCTTCCAATTATCGACTCAGTGTATTCTTTGGTCTTGCTCTATTCCCCTTATCCATTCAGGATTTCAAATTAGCGCTTGTATTTGAAGATCTCACTTTTTCCATGTAGCATGTAGCTCTTCTGGAATTACTGCCGGTCCCACAACCAGGTAAATTAGGAGGTTTGGGGATGGGGTCATCAACATCAGCCGTAGAGAACATTCCTGCTATAAATCACTAACCAGGAAGCAGTGAGCTCTTAATTCAATCATTCTGGGGATTTTAACAGGGATTCACAGGTAACGTTGGATGAAGACCGCATTATATTTTAAGTTGAATCAGTTTAAATTATTGATCACGGCACATCCATTTAGTAACTGAATAGTACCAAAGTCCTTGATATTACTAAAGATCCTGAGTTCATTCGAATTTGTAACTGTAAATTGCATTGCTAAGTGATCCAAAATTTCAATGAAATATTTATCCCTTCTGACATTTAATACTTTTTAAGATTGTATGAATAATGAAAATAGCCTTTGAATACTATTAATGTCATGAAAAAACAAACAGAAGTAAACACTTAAAAAATTGTACAACTTCATAACTTCTCTTTATATCATAAATTTAATCCTGGATGAAATTGAGGTTGGTTATTTTTCAACTATTTCAGCAAAGAGTTTCATTTTGAAAATTAGAACAACACACATAAGCAAACAGTATTATCGATTTAATTAAAAACAATATTATAAGCAGAGATGGATAGTGGCTAGCAGTGGAATCCAGGACGCGCGTTTCGTCCTGTTTGGGACTCGTCAGCTGGATGTACCTGCATCTCAGAGTTGATGTTCACTCTGGGACTCGAACTCAGTACCGTTCGCTTCAAACGCCATCGCGTTATCCACTTAGCTACTGAGTCCTGATAGCCACTTGCTTGTGCAATGGGGTGAAGTTTAATTCACTTGATATTGTTTTATTTGAATCTTCCCATTGATGTTTTAGGACTGAAGTTGATCAGTCTCTTATTGAGTTCGAGTCCCAGAGTGAACATCAACTCTGAGATGCAGGTACATCCAGCTGACGAGTCCCAAACAGGACGAAACGCGCGTCCTGGATTCCACTGCTAGCCACTATCCATCTCTGCTTATAATGCTTGTAAATTAAGGCAATATCGAGGCATACGCACAGTATGCACATATGTCAATAAGAGACTGATCAACTTCAGTCCTAAAACATCAATGGGAAGATTCAAATAAAACAATATCAAGTGAATTAAAAACAATATTGTTCACTTTATATGTCTTTTTTTTATTTCTTATCCTTTTCCTAATTCTCCACATAATATCACTGTTCAATGCAAACAAATCAATAAAATCTTCATAGAACCTGATCATCCGAAAATTTATTCAATACAAACTAACTTTATATATAAAGTTTTAGCATGAAATTAACAAACTTTCAGAAATTCTTTTTGTCAAAATTGAGTTTAATATTTAGTTTAGTATTCTGATTATTTGAATTATTCACTTGGTAGAAATACCTTTAGGAGGGATAAGAGAAATAATACGATTGTTATTGATAAGAGGAGGATTCATTGCATCTCGATCACAATACCATTCGAGACATATATATATATACCCCGAGCCTTTGACCAAAAGGTCTAATCCACAAGGCAGTGGAGCAACGTCAGAAGACGCAGTCTCATGGTAGCTGGTTCGTACGCCATCCATTCCTTCAGGATACTGTAGTTCATGTTCGCTAAGAGACCTGAAGGTTTCGGGCTAGATCCTCACAGGGTTAGTAAGTCTACACTGCTTACAAGTTGTATATTGTGTTAAGACAGTTGTTCAGTGCTCCTCGGTTTTTATTAGTATCACAACTGAGACTAATTTGTGTAAAAAAAACAGCCTACAAATTAAACTAATCAACACAACATCCCTTCAACTAAATATATTATTATTTAATGATTTAATAAATGTATTATAAACTAATGAAATTACAATCGAGGTCAATCATTGATTGATTGACCACTTAGTATCTAATACTCATTCCCTAATCAATAAACACTAGATGACACACAAAAAAGTTATTGAATTATGGTTAGAAAAATCAAATCAAAACAACTCGTGTTGTCCTAATTTATTTTCATTTACTACACATAAAAAAAATCTTATCATAATAATGGGTCAAAAACTACACAACAGATAACAAAATGAGAAATACTATGATGAATTAGAACAGAAAAATCATACAAACAGCGAATATTTGTATGGGTGATACTATAATGAATCGATAGCAGTTATTTACTTACTTACAAACGCAGGACATAGGCGTCCAACGGAGAATCTACAGACAACAATATCCTACTACCGCTTTCACAGTTTTACCACCAATGCTATTCATGCTTTTGATATATCCCTCCTACTCCTCATGTCATCTAATCTTTAGTTAACCTTCTCACTTTCTTACATGAGAACTACATGTTAAGAATTCCTTTGCGAAGTAGTTCGATGAGTTCTGAAATGTGTGTCCTATCCACCTAAAACGTCTTTTCCCAATTTCCTACTCAAATGACACCTGATTTGTTCTTTACCACAGTCGATTATCGATTACGGTCTCTGGTCAATAGATCTGGAGAATATTGTCTAGAAAGCTGTTTATAGATAACTGCACCTCTCCGGTGATGGTTGTGACAGCTTTCGAAGTTTCAGCTCCGTATAACAGAAATGCCTTGACAGTTGTTTTGAGTCCCAGATATTCTTCAAATGTAGGAATACCACCCTTACTTTGCTAATCTGTTCATTCACATCTGCATCAGATCCTCCTTGTTTATCGATGATACTGTGCAGGTAGGTAAATGTTTCCACCTTTTGCAGAGCTCGTCAGTCAAGTATGAATGGGTTGGTGTTTTCTATGTTGTATTTTAGTATCTTGCTTATCTCCTCGGTATACCAATTAGCATATCATTAAAAATACAATATAACTGGATAGGTGTTTTTCCTAGTCTGTGACTTCTCAGTATTGGACTCCCATTGCTCTACCAGCGATAGAACTCAAGGCCTCCAGTCTTTGAGGTGATGGTAAATCTTTTAAACCACGTCTATAAAATACTAAACTGATAGTTTAATGATTTTAGTTCAAATGCTTCTTCAAACCAAATTTACCAAAGGGATTAATTGACTTGAACGAGACTTCACTTTCTTTGTTTAATCATTACTTCTATCAGCCTATTACTTAAGATTGCTGTATAATATCCAGTTATAATCCTTAAAAATCCATTCAATGATAGTGTGCAAATTTATATAATCTAAATGTTTATGCATGAATACTGCTACATAGACGATCTCTGACACCTAACTGTTCGATCAACGCTCTTAGCAAATAAAAAACCTTTCATTTTTGCACAACACTTTTACATCTATTCAATGCTTATTCCAGTATTTTAAATTGTTACAATTAACTATGACTTCAGATAATTATATGTATTGTTCAATTGTTGAATTACAGTAGAATATGAGATGGTGGAGAAGACTTGTAGCTCAAGTGGATAATTTTGATGAAGTTTTGTTCTCTGAGCTCAGAGAACACCAGTAGTTTGGAATCAGGGTTTTACAACTCCCCTAGGTGGATACTCCATATCCACCAACCCGGTTAAAATGCCGGATATTCACTTTTCATCCTCTCAATTTTGTAAGCCATAGTAATGTCACGAGAAGGCAGTGAGCAGGACTTTCCTGACAGTTGTTGCATACGCGTGGCCATGTGAGAACATTTTGATGAGGAAGACGGACTCTCCCCACCCTCGGCCATAGCAGGACATTCGGAGGAAAACCATACAGACACTCAGAGTTAAAGCCTAACACTAAATATGATAATCATAACTACAGATTCATAGACTGAAGAATTTTTTCCTCTAAAAGTACTTGTCTTCTCTCATAGGATGTAATGAAACTAGAAGAGAAAGAAAGATTAGACTATTGTTAGTTCCGTATTCTCTCAAATTCATTAAAACAGAAAGAATTCTTTACAGAAAGTAATTTTAACAGGATTTTAGCTAATTGCAAAACTCAGTAAAACTGAAAAACTGGAAAAAAATTTTTTTTCTGTCTGAAATATATATATAAAGGGATTATTTTGAGTAAATTAACCAAAATAAATAACGATTATGTATCCATGAGATTCAGTACAGAAGAACAGCGTAATATCGTATTGATGTTTGATGATAAGAGATTTAAAGCATGTATGCAATTAGAAAAAAAAACGGATAAATCCACATAAACAAAATAAAACGAGTTCCAAGGAGTAATCAAAAAAATTTCAGTAATCAATTTTTTAAGAACCGGAAAAAATTACAGGTATAATTATCGTAGTAATTATGAATAAATTGTTCCCATATGGCATACAAATAGCAAATCATAGGCCAAGTTGGGTCATAAACCATTGTTATTAATAGCCATATATATATAGTCAGGTCTCTTCATACACTCAGATTTGTTGGTAGCCACCACTGCCACTGCTTCCACTGATATTCCAATTACGTCGACTTGTGATAATGAATGCGATCAGCGCAACGATAATCATTACCGCTAACGATATACCAATGACAATTGGAACAACTCTATCTAAATGATAGTCGAGTAAGCACTGAACCACTAATTGGAAGAAAATTTTCGAAAACAAAAACATTCAATGGTTAGTTGAAAGAAACAAAAACGAAAATCAAAGCACAAATGACCCGTTACTTAAAAATCAAATAGGTTAAAATAATGAAGCCAGATGAAGAACCATGTACCGTACTATGAGATACAAAGATAGTATGATGTACAGAAATGGTTATTAAATTTGTTATAATGGAGGAGAATTATAGGATTTTTTTATTGTGTAATCGATTGTCTGAACTGATGTGAATGGTGGCTAAGTGAGGATAACTTACGCAAACTAAACAACTGATCCAGTTTAAAAATGAACAGATATCAAACGATAAAACAAATGGTCGGCAGAGTTATTTTATGTGACAAAATGAAACACTAATGAGCAATATGGTTGACACAAAAATTAACATGACTGAATATCCATTTAAACACCGGGACACTGGGAAGATCAATCAAATAGATATGGAAATGAGGAGACACAACCTGATAGTGCTCGGAATCAGTGAAGCCCATTGAACCAAATTTGGACAGAAAAGGATAGATTTGGAAGAGATGCTTTTGTACTCCGGTTACGAGGAATAAAATGGTCCACACAGTCAGGGAGTTACTCTGATGTTGTACAAACAAACACAGAATACACTTATTTGTTGGCAATCTCATGGATCTAGGATCATCAAAGCATCATCCAAAACAAAGGAGAGAGACACAATCAATGTTATACACACAACAATAATGGAAACGATGACGATAAAGATTTACGAGGCTGCCATCAACCGTAGCAAAGTGCTCAGGAAAGGACCTGGCCATCGCGATGCGAGACTTAAACTCCAAAGCCGGATATGAAAATATCATGGGATGACATGAACTGAATGGGAGAAGGGAACGAGAAAGGCGACAGATTTGCAAATTTATGTGCACTCAACAAAATGGTTATAGGCGGCACAATATTCCCACACAAACAAAGATCTGAACAAATGTGAGAACTACAGAGGCATCGCACCAAGAAAAGTTTGCAACTGTGTTGCTGAACTGGATGAAACATTCAGTAGACGTCCAGCTTCGAAATCAACAGAACGGATTCCGTCAGAATAGGTCATTCACAAACCAAATCGCGACACTACCAATCATCGTTGGAAAATCTACTGGATGCAACTCGTCACTATACATCAACTTCCTTGATTATGAGGAATATGGACAGAACATCATGGAAACTTCTTCGACACTATGGTGTGCCTGAGAAAATTGTCAACACCATACGAAATTCATACGACGGACTACAGTGCAAAGTCGTGCATGGAAGACAGCTGACAGACGCGTTGCGATAGAGGACCGAAGTCAGACAAGGCTTCCTACTCTCCCCTTCCTTTTTCTTCTGATGGTTGACTGGATTATGAATACCTTAACATCTAAGGGGAAGCACGGAATACACTGGATATGTTGGATGCAACTAGATGGTTTGGACTTTGCAGATGACCTGTTTCTTCTATCTCTCCCTCTCACAAACACACCAACAAATGCAGGTCAAAACAAACAGTGTAGCAGCAGCCTCTCCAGAAGTAGGTCTCAAAGGAAAAAGCAACATCCTCAAATACAACGCAGAGCACACCAACCCGGTCACAATTGATGGAGGAACTCCGGAAAATGTGCAAACTTTCACGTACCTACCTACACAGCGTCATCGACGAATAAGGAGCATCCGATACAGACGTAAAGTCAAGGATTGACAAACTAAAGACAGCATTCTTACAATTGAAGAACATATACAACTCAAAACAACTGTCTGCCAACCAATATCAAAGTCACAATCTTCAATACGAACGTCAACACAGTCAGTTCTATTTTAAGGAGCTCAAACTTGCAAAGCCACTACAACCATCATCAAGAAAGTACAAGTATTTGTCAACAATTGTCTACTCAAGATACTCAGTGTCCATTGTTGACCGGATACTATCAGTAACAGCCAACTGTGGGAGAGAACAACCCCGATCCCAGTTGAAGAGGAAACTAGGAAAAGACGTTGTGATTGGATAGGACGTACACTTCGGAGATCATCAAACTGCATCACGAGGCAAGCGCGAACTTGGAATCCTGAATGTTTAAGTCAGAATTATGTGTCAACCCGAGGTAAAGAAATGACAATATCCGAAGTCCTGGTCAAATGACCAGGTTTTGAAACTGTACTAAGTCCATTAACTGAATTATACGTTGTGCCAGTCAAGTGATCACTTTCCTTAGATGATAATGATTGAGGTCGCGATCAGACTGGATAAAGACAAAGGTGATAAGTCATTCATTAGCGGTAGATTTTACGAAATAACAGAGGAATCCCCACCTTTCACTTTGAAATCAAAGGAAAGACATGTAAACGGTACTTTTGAAACTTTAAATCAGCGAACACAATGGTGGACGTCTGTTAAACAGCTGCATTCAGCAGGCTTGACAAAGAGATCTTGTAGTAGTCTGCCCCTTGAATGTTCACCCAAGAAGTAGGTCAACCTACCAAAGGCTTTCCACTAGAACCCCATTAGTCGGGTCAAAGCTTATTTATTTATCAGGACTGTCGAGATTCCTTTGAAAAAACCCTGAAACACGAACAATAACTTCCATAAAGTGAAATATAATTGATTTTCCACTAATGTACGGTTTAGAACTGCTATAGTTGATGACAACATTAATCAAAAAGCATACTGGATAACTCTAAGGTTTTGCTGTAGTAAAAAACATAGAATCTTCCCAAGCATGAACGGAAACCTAAAACATTCAACAAACTAAAAGAAGTCCTACATGATCAGCCCTTAACAAACTATCATTAGGCTTAAATAAAAGGGAAATTGTGATGTATAAACTATAGTGAACTGTCAGTATTGTTACCTTGTTTACATAACCGAAGTAGATACTGATAGTTTATATACCCTATGAATCGTGTTGCACATACGTTTATTTAACAACAAAAACAACCCCTATTTGTTGCTTGAAAACAAGGATAATAAATAACAAAGTTAATTAATCGAATCACCACCGAACAACCATTATTCGTAAACGACAAACGGTACATAGCTAATAAACCTTTACATCAATAAATAATAAACTTATATAATATTAAGGAAAACTTACTGATACCATTAAATTCAGGCTCTAACCCATGTCTGAATGCTTGAACTCTCAACTGAGACAAAGTTAGTTTAACAGTTACAGGATTCGGTGTGGAATGATTCAAAACTATGTTCTGTTCAGCTTGACAAGAATAATATGAACCGATTGTAACGGAAAATAGTGAACGGTTATTTGATGCATATCTTAAATCTAAATGTAAAAACAGAATTAAAATTTGTAAAGTTGGACTGTTAAATGTTTAAAGAGAAGCAACAGGTCTAAAAAAATATTGCTGGAAACTTCTTTTAAAAGCTAATGACAGAAACATCGATCAACAAATTCATGTCAAATATTTGGTCTTTAGGGTTGATACATAATAGGCACGTAACACTAACTCATACAATGAATTATTTACAGCAATCAAAATAAGTAACTCTAAGAATAAAAAATAAGAAATATGAATTACCAACCCGGCAAATCATCCAGTTCAAAAATTAAGCTAATTCCACTGAGGTTGTAACTATTTTCAGATTTGGCGAATTGAAATGTAAGGTTCCAAGTACTGTTTGACCAATCTGTTTTCCAAGATAAGTCCAAACTTTCCATCTCCTTTTCGAAATAACCCGAAACTTGAAATCCTCCCTGAGTTGCTGAATCAATTGAAACTACAACAGGTGGTTTTTGAACCTACATGCATCGAAGTCAGATGTAGGTAATGAAGTAAGGACGTGAAGAAAAAACATAAAGTTAACCGGAATGCTTTATAGTTTTATAAGCAAATTTAAGAAGTATAGGAGTGGTTTCACACAGAAACTTCCATTTTGTTATGGAGTATTAAGATGACTACCAACGTTTTGATATTAAACAGAGGCATAGTATAATGGCCTAAGTAGCCGGTCGTTTGTTATTTGTGGTGAAAACTAAAGGAACTTCATAAAATGACTGGACAGACAAGCAATATATTAAGTATTCTTGTTATGTGAGTGTTTCCCAGTCTTGAATATAAACTTGCAAAGGATCACTGAACTGCATTAATTTCCCAATGGTTATGCCTTAAGTGGTCTCAGATAAAGACTGATATTCCATGAATAAGATCACAATATATTTTGCTCGTAGTCTTCGTACATCCACACATACAAAACATTACTGAATAGTATCCGCATTATGTATAACGATTATGCCAAGAACATAAAAGTGATCTAGTTTGGAGAATAACACCGTTTGTTTCGTTAGTCAGAAAAGCTTAGAACACTGCTGTGATACTGTGAATATTTCTACCTTGTCATTAGGTCTGATGCATGTCTCCCAACTTTCTCCACAAGACTGAAACTTATAAACAAACGAACGAAATTTAGGATAACAGGTATCAGTCATGTACTTGAATAATATTTTGCCATTATAGCTAATGTCAGTTCGCGATGAAAACCCTTACTTGAATTCCAAACCTTAAGTTCTAACTATATATCCTAATTATAATTCTACTAATTAACTTATAACACTCCTCTGACCCTGGTAAGTGAATTATCTCGATGCCACTAACGACCTTAGTGTTGACCATGAATTACAGTTCATCCAGTTTTGCAAATCAAATGTATGAAAGTGAAATTGGATCCTAACCTTTGTGTAAGCCAAAGTCATATTTATATAGCCTTGCAATAGTATGTTTGAATCATTTGAGCCAATTCGAAAAGTAGCAGGTGATGTGACAGGACCCACGCCAGAGCATACGATCTGATCCAAACCTATGATCTCAAAGCATTATGAAGTAATTATTACATGAAACAATTAACGCCGAGAGAACTACGAACATGGCTGCGATAGGATTTCCGAACAGGTTGGGAAGTTTCCAGTCGTAAACAGGTTTGTGCTTAGTCTTCAGGTATATTGTTGATAGGAATCGATGGACAGTGAAATTAAACTTGGTGATGGTAGTTCCCTCAATTTATTACCTAGAAAAGAGATGAAAAACAGTTAATCAGGCCCATATGTGCTTCAAGCATACAACAAATACTCAGTTACTCCTAAAAATGGTAACACTTAACAGTTAACAAGTGTTAAGTTAAAACTCGAATAAGCATACCCGCAGTGTCCTTGAAGTCACAAATCAATTCCATTCGTTTTTCCTCCAACTTCGACCTTGGTCGAATAGAAAGGACGAATTTATTGTTTCCTGTTATACCTGATTATGTGTGAAGACTCAGAAACATTTGCTTCAAAAGTACTTCAGTGTTCCCTTTTCTGGAAAAACTTCTTTTAGTTGTTGCAAAGTAAAATAGACCCCCAAAAATAAATAGTTCTGTATGTCTTCATCATTGATGACTATTTTATTTATTAAATACACCCTAGATGAATGCACTCGGCCACCCATCCGCACCAGTTCATTAGTAGCTACCCAGCGCATTTCTGCTAGCCAGCTTAGACTAAAGGCTTCTCGATGTATCAACAGATTCCCGAATATATCTTCCATTTCTTTCATTTCTGACCTCTGATTTCATTGGGTTGGTATCCTTCGATTTACAAAGTGTTTTAGCGGTAAATAAATCTCCAAAATAAATAACTCTATAAGTTTTCGACACTGGATGTTGACCACATTAGTTTTAATGGACTTACCTAGCTGAAGGGGCTCGGCCATGCATCCGCACCAGACCACGAGTGGGAACGCTGTGCTCAACAACCCCTGCAATTGCTAGCCAGATTAGATCAGACGATCCTCGATATATTGATAGTCTATCAAATAAATCTTCGAACCTTCTCGCTTCTGTCATTTGATTTCACTAGGTGGGTACGCTTCATATTTGATGTTACTGGTTAAAGCGTTGTCAAAATCCGAATACCTGTGGCATCGTCAATGATATTGAGTTGATAAAAGATATACTTGACCAGCTATTGCCTTAAGATATCCGTGAGATCATTTAGCCGGAAGTATTTGTTCTGTCTAGACAAAAGGATTTGAAACGGAATCAAAACCGGGCTGCTAAAAGTGGTAAATACGTCTCTATATGAAAGAACCTTGACACTACAGAATGAACGTTAATTAAGGGGGCTAGGAGTTTGTGTTCGCAAAGACAGTAGGCCTCCTATCATTCGACATAGATCATCTATGTTGGTGATCTTTATTATGCCCATATACAAAAAAGTTTTAAATGAGTTAAGCAAGAGTTATGTCTCTCTAGAATCAAGAATCCTTTTTTAATACCAAGACATAGATAAAAAAAACAAGCAATAATGCGTTATTGATATTTAAGGCTTGATAAACTTATTTCCATAACACATATATAATCGAATCTCAAGAACTATTAAATCAGAAGTCAGAAACGTAAGAGGTTAAAGATATATTTGTGAGATATTCGGTATGTTGAGGAGTGTGTGGTCCAATCTCACCAGTTGTTGAGAAGGATGAGTTGCAAGGCATGCCCTAAGGCGATCTGGTTCGACTGCGTGATTTGGCATAATCAGCATGTTCAGTGAGACTGATGAGGTCAGAGTCGAATACTTTGAGAAGGTTCATTTACCGTATTCCGAGTTTCACAACACACTTAGACGTGACACTGAAGATGCCACAGGTATTCGGATTTTGACAGCGCTTTAACCAGTAACATCAAATATGAAGCGTACCCACCTAGTGAAATCAAATGACAGAAGCGAAAAGGTTCGAAGATTTATTTGATAGACTATCAATATATCGAGGATCGTCTGATCTAATCTGGCTAGCAATTGCAGGGGTTGTTGAGCACAGCGTTCCCACTCGTGGTCTGGTGCGGATGCATGGCCGAGCCCCTTCAGCTAGGTAAGTCCATTAAAACTAATGTGGTCAACATCCAGTGTCGAAAACTTATAGAGTTATTTATTTTGGGGATTTATTTACCGCTACATCATGCTCGAAACGAGTTTTGGATTCTGAGCTTCTGCTCTCCTTGTTCCTATGAGAGACGACTGGAATTTCATGATGATCAGACTTTGATTCCTCAGTTAATGTTTGGGGAGATTGTGTTTTCTTCAATAACATGAATTCGTTTTTATTCTTGGTTTGAACGCTTTCGTCAGTTTTTGCTGGAGTAGTGATTACAGTCGCGTTACACACCCTGTGAGATCCTGGGTGATTGTTTATGACTTCGGTAGTCAGATTGTTAAAGAATCAACTGTATCACTAGGTTTTGTAGTCGTTTCACGCCTACTGCCGTTGAAAGAGAGGGGGACAGAAGAAACCTGTTCTTTTGAGCTCTTATTCCTAACAAATCTTTTTGACGTCGGTCTTTCTTCCTACGGTTCATGTAATACGATGGACTCTGTGATTAGTTGGGATGGCTCAACACCCGTTTGTTTACCAACAGAGCGAGTACTATTTGGATTATCTCGATTACTCTTGCCAATACTCCTTTTAGCATTGCTTCGGGTAGCAAGCCTTTTCGACCGAGCAGAATTGCTGATTCAACCACATGTAACAATTTTTGCCAAATCGTTTGAAAGCCAGAGGAGTTAGATTCATGAAATCGCTTTGATGTCATCATTTGCACTCATCTCACTGAATGCCACTTTCCACTAAATATCAGAAACCTAAACATTTACAGCTTCATTTTTTAGCAGTGATCAGTCATCAATCAGAGGTTTTCGAATAAACTAGACATGAAAACGCAATTTAACAAAACGTGATAACCAGAAGAAAAAGCGGAATCGTAAACCGTTAGAGTCAAAAGTGCAACAAACAGAAATCCAAGATACTTAAAAGTACAGCTGATAAATTAATTTCGGAAAAACGATACTCTTGGTATTACTTTAACTGAAATAATTTCAGTTAAAGCAAAGATAGTAGTCTTAATGCGTAATAAACAACCAAAACTGTAAAATCAACTCAACGAGGAAAAATACCTTTTTAAATAGCGCTTCTATTAAACTACGCTGTGTTTAAAAATCTTTTATTGGATGTATTCGAAATAAGGTTAAGTAAATTGAGAAACCTCATCACTAGCATTAACATGGAATTTCCAATCACGCGCTTTCAAACTGCTATTAATTTCCCCAAAACGACACCTTTTGGTAAGTAAAGTCAGCGTGAATTGTGGTGCCAGGTGAGAGTATTTCGCGTAACAATAAAGCCTTCTGACACTTAAACCTGTCTATAGCTGGTTACAATGCATCTGGTAGGTATCTTGATCTACACCTTGTTAATTACAGCGCAAATTTGGTTTTGCCGCGCACTTCAGGATATTGCGCGAGGTCGGGCACGCTAGTTGAAGTCGTAAAGTGCTAGTGTTTTATCGTTGGGTCTCAAATGTCTGATTACGCTGCATTCCAAACTTTGTTGCTACAACTTCAAAGCTCGGATAACGAGTCTCGTACACGTTCTGAGGTAAATCAGAGTTTTGCTTTCATTGTTATTTTAGACGGCGTACGATGCCATTACACCAACAACTCGATTCACTCTGCTCCTCCAAGTGTTAAATGACAAGAGTATCGTCTCTCAGGTTGGTTCTGAGTGTGTTATATTTTGGCGTCTGTAGTCAAATGTGTGTTACCTGGCTATACTTTACCATGGGTGTCAGAATCCCTGTTTGTGTACCTTTGATAATATGTTTTGCCCAAGTATTTATCGCCTTTTAGTTTTTCACAGATGAGAGAAGTTAGGACTACATTTTAAATATTACAACTACTCTTCAGTTTATGCCTATCTTGTTATGCTTGTTATATTTCATATCCCAGTAATTGATGACCTAACAGAACTGCTTCCTTTCGACCACCCCAGAGTAACTGACATTTAATTTTATCAACTAAATCAGATATGCTTAATAGCGACCCATGCAACGATATATAGACCTTTGGTATATCATGATATGGATAGTCGCAACTACTGTACGTGAACTTTTCCAGAACTTAATCGGTGATGATTTGGTGCTGGTATCAAACAAACAATTTTTCGCAGACATTGATGTGGCCACATTGAATTAATTGTAGCGAAATTTGCAACACGATATCGTACAACCAACTACTCGTAACCAGACTAACTATAAGATGACGTCTAAGCCATCACAGTGTTCACAAGGTCCTACTTATAACTGACAAAGTATTATCATAATCGGAGTTAATATCTCTGAATGATAAATATAAGTTGCACTATTATGAACTCTGATGAGAGTAATTAATCATACCCAATCCCACCAACAGTAGAGTGAGTTATTGTATTTCCCGACCTTTCAATGTTATTCGTTTACTAAGTTTTGTTTCATGTCTGAGCTATTGATATTACTAAATCTAGACAAAAGCGTCCAAACTTACAAAAGAGCTAAACACAATCCCATCTGACTAGTGTCTATTGCTGGTGATCCCAGTTTGTAAGAAAGGACGCAAGTCCTTTTGTGATAACCGCAGCAAAATTAATTAAACTATTATGGTGTCTAAAATACTAGCCTTTATAATCACGTGTCACTTAGCTAAAACCTGTAAAAAGCGAGCTGGTTTGGGACCAGGACGTGTACATGTTGACGAAATGTTTTGGAAACGAACATACCAGCGCCTGACCATAATTGTATTTCTTGACCTCAAGGTAACATTTAAATCAGTTGATCATCAGGTTGTGTCAACATGTATTATCGGGAGGTGTATCAGTGAAGTACGTCAACCTTGCAAAGGTTCTCTTTTACAGTATTTGTCGAGTCAGCTTATGAAGAAGTATCACCCCGGTTGTCGACCTTCAAATAATGTTCGTCATAGATGTCTTAGAAACAACACCTAACTTCAGGGGCTGGTCTACTAGGAGGTTCACTTCGAATCCACAGATGCCACCTCTGTCTAATGATGCTAATAAAATAAAAGTTTCATGATCTTGAGCAAAAATGCTAGCGTGTTCAGAACGCGTTCTCCCTCTAAGTACGAAAAGTTTCTTCAGGACTCGTCTGTATTGTCTGAATTAATGATAGTGAATCAGGTGGTTGAGTGTGCCGACCGCTTCACCCGTCTTGGGAGTTTAATCAGTCCTACTTAGATGGCCTTTGTCGGTAACTTGGTCTTCATTTGCCGACTTGCGTCACTTGTGGCGCAGATGAGATGTCCATCTGCTAAGTAACATGTGTGCTGCTCAACAGTCTGCCCTTTCAAGTTATGATTGCAAGACATGGTCTATGAAAGCAAAAGACATCTATAGGCAGTAGGTTTTTGCTCATGGATATTTCC